TCATGTAGGAAAGGCTGGTAGAATTACTACAGGTTTGGCAGGGCCAATGAGCAAGGTTACCAATGACTCAAGCACCCCATACGTGACCATTTGGATGCCTGCTAGAGGTATACACTCTCCAGTAACAGTAACGTGCTCCTTTTGGTAAGATAGATAGTTTTTTCTTTCAGAGCCATGGAAGATAGCCAGGAATCTGGGTCAACAGTCTACACACAGTGTAATCTGTGTCTTTTGCTTCTTCCCACAAAGAGAAGGTTTTTCCTATTGGCAGCTCTAGCTGCCATTTATAGGATTTTGCCCAGGCAACTTTATAAAGTTATCTGACCCTATAGCATCATATAGATTTTTGAAAGGCTATTGCGAATCAGGAATTTTAATGCAAAACAGCCACATTCAAAGCAGCACCCTGGTTCTGCAGTCGTCACTTAATTTTCTTTTTTTTTTTTAAGATTTTTATTGGGGAATTGGGGGATGAGAACAGCGCTGGGGAATTGGGGGAAGGGGAACAGACAAGTTGCTGTTGTTTTGTTCTTCAGTCTAGTTGTGAAGGACGTTGCTTCACTGGCCCAAGTTGGCACCATCATTGCGCTCTTCCTGGGCAAGGCAGATCAGTCGCTGGCTATTGGACAGCTGCTCACGGCGGCTGCTGGCCGCTCATGCTGGTTGCTGGCTACACACGGTAGCCCATGGCAACCCACTGCAGCAGGGGCTGCAGCCTACGCCGTCGCTGTCGCTGGCGACTCATGGCAGCCCAGCTACAGGTTGAGCTGTTGTTCAGCATCTGAGCTGTAGAGGGCAGTGTCACTGGTGGGATCCAAACCGGGGCCCTCTGGAGTCCCAAGCCAGCTCTTAACCAATGCGCCACTCAGCTGGCCCTAATTATTTTTTTTAATACTGATATGTTTTATTGAAATCTCAACAGTCGTCACTTTAATAGCAGCTCTGTCTTAAACACTAACAACTAACACGGCAGCATTACAAAGCATCAGTCACAACTTCATTGTGAGCCTAAAGGCTGGACGTGTGAACATTAACGATACATGTTTTGCTATGGAAACGCTTTTACACCAGACATACAGGATGCAACAGCTGCCATCCAAAACTGCCCTGTGCACAGAGACACTTGTCTGGAAAAGCCAGGACTGGTCAGACAGTTCCTAATCCTCAAAGGGGCCTGCTGGTTGTCGCCCAGTGTTCTCTCCTCCACAGCACATGGGCAGGTAGGGGACACACAGAGCCACATCTGGCGCTCCTTCTGCTCACTGCTCTACAACTGTGATGGCTAGAACTATGGGTCACATGAAAAGTACTTGGCTAGTATGTTACATAATTATTTAAATGCCTACCAGGCTAAAACTTCCATTTCTAAAGTAGTGGTTTTCAACATGTGGACATAGGCCCACCCACTTCAGAATCACCTGGGGTGCTTGTTAGAATGTAAATTCCTGTGCACGTATGTCTATTCCTGTGCACGTATGTCTATTATTTGTCTCCCTTGTTGGCATGTAAGCCCTGGAGAGTAGAAATTGGTCTGCATACCCTGGTACCCCAACACCCTAACAGTGTTTGGCACATAGTAAGTAGTCAATAAGTATTTTGTGGGATGAATTAATTTCTGGGCCTTATAACTGACCTACTGAATCAAGATCCCTAAGAGCAGAGCCAAGGAATCTGCATTTTAGAGCTATATACAGGTGATTTTTATGCACAATAAATTTTAAGAACCATCGTTCTTAAGTAATTCAGCCAATTCTAAAATAAATGGAAAGATGAAAAGTTTTGTCTCCAGAGGCCCCCACACTAGCTGTCTGGTCAGACAGTAAGGTAAAGTAAACATATTAATATCATCCTTGGGAGAAGATTTTGCCTTCTAGTCGTCTACCTCCAACAGATGTTGATCTGACACCTGCAGTGTGCCAGGTTCTGGGTCCCCTAAGTGGACAAAGCAAACATGGGCATGGAGGGAGAGTGCTCAGGAGATACTGGAGCCCACCCTGTGTCCGGAGCCATGCTCACCACTTTCCACTCTGCAAGAAGCAAACATGTGGGCTTGATTACAGTAGTCTCCCCTTACCCATGGTTTTGCTTTCCATGGTCACCTGCAACCCCAAAATATTAAATGGAAAATTCCAGAAGTAGTTCGTAAGTTTTAAATTGAACGCCATTCTGAGTCATGTGATGAAATCTCATCACAATCCCACCCGGAATGTGAATCATCCCTTGACCAGGGTCTCCACGCCCTAGAGGCTCCCCACCCACTAGTCACTCAGTAGCAACCTCAGTTATGAGATCGACTGTCACAGTATCGCAGTGTTTCTGTTCCAGTCACTCTTATTTTACTTACTCTGGCCCCAAAGAGCAAGAGTAATGAGGCTGGCACTATGGATGCCAAAAGAGAAGCCATAAAATGAAAAGGTGAGTACAGAACAATAAGATATTGTGAGAGAGAGAGAGATCACATTCACATAACTTTTATTACAGCATATTGCTATAATTGTTCTATTTTAGTATTAGTTTTTGCTATTCATCTCTTACTGTGCCTAATTTATAAACTAAACTTTACCATAGGTATGTATGTATAGGTAAAAACATAGTATACCTAGGGCTCGGTACTATCCAAGGTTTCAGGCATCCAATGGAGGACTTGGAATGTGCCCCTGTGGACAAGGGGGGACTACCTACTGTGTTTAACAAACCTGCCTCTCCCTGCTGCCCAAAGCTCACCAATGGAAATGGAGCAGACTCTCTGTTCATTACTGCTTTCCTGAAAGGCTTGAATGGCACTTCTGATCCATGAAAGCCAGATATCATCTTAAAGGATTTATCTTATCCTAAAAGACTCCAACTTTCCAAACAGGTTTCCTATATGTTTGGCCTTTTGCATTTGTGCTGGAAACTTGGCATTTTATTTCTAGTTACAACCAGCCTCTCACCAGCATTTGATCTTGGGCAGTCACTGCATCGCTTTTGGCCTGTTTCCTCATTTCAAAAAAGAGACCGTTAGACTAGAATCAGGTCTTGAGCTCCTACCAATTCTAATATATTCTAATCTGTGACTTCTTAGTGGCACCTTCCTGACTTTTGCTTAACAAAACATCCAGATGTGATTAGAGGAGCAAACTACTCCATCCCAAACTCTCCAAGGCTGAGGTGGTCAGCCTGCGGTAGACTAGGTAAATATTTGGAATTTGCGAACAACTCCTGGGAATTCTCTTCCTCAATTTCCGAGTTTACCTATAAAAAGACTATGGCAATTTTAATGTGCTTAATTAAAGCTGTAGGTAAAAGATAAATATCTGAATTTCCTCTGAAATTTGAACATTTTGTTTATGTCAGGACTGAAGAAAGAGGTTTCAGCAGAGCCTGATCTAGGAGAGGTGAAAAATCACTGCTTTGCGGGTTGCTTCGAGGCCAAGCTGTGATGTGAAGGGAGAGATGTAGGGAGCGAGATGCCCTCACCACTGTCCCTCTGCGTTCCCTCTGCCCCTCCTTCTGTCCCCATCTCACAGAAGTTCCCCACAGATGGGCTTCTCTGAATCAAAGTGTACCCTTCACACCAAATGTACGGTTAATACCCTTTGTTCCAGTCCAGCCCGACTGACTAATCATGGCTAACTTGTCCATTACCATCGCCAGATAATTGCATTTTCACTGTCTTTTTTTGGAAAACAGCTTCACATAAATCAGCGGTTCTCAGTGCCTTCGGGCCTAATATCTGCTTTATATTCCAACGAGTTTGTAACACCTCCTTTATTAGCCTGAAATGAAAACTAGAAAATAATAACTTACCTACTCACCATATAATGCCCAAATTTTGTTTTTACATGGATGAAAGTTAGCAAAGTAATTTATAATAAACTAACATTTTGATATGCAATAGTTTAGGTAAGACCACACGACGGTGTAATGCAGCCCAATGCTTGCCCTGTATCTAGAATCACAAAGACAGCCACAAATGGACTATTGAGGTAGCAAGAAATATGAAAACCCTACTCGCTGCTCACTAAATGCCACTAGCATCCCCCAACCCTTTATTGTGACAACCTCCAGTACCATGTATTAATACCTACTCTGTCCTTTGTCTCTCTTCCAAAGTCTTAGGATAGGAATGTCACAATACATAATAACAACCTCAACAATAAAAGGTAGCAATTATTGAACACTTCCCATATGCCAAGCACTTTTAAAATAATTTTGCATTTATTAACTCATGTAATCCTTATAACTCCATAAGTAATATTATTATCACCATGTTCTAGGGATAATAATAATAATAGGCACAGGGAAAGTAAGAAACTTGACTAAGATCACACATCTAGCCACATCTAGCTTCTTGGAGAAATCAACTCCTCTGGTCATTATAATCAAAGGGTTTCATAGTAAGCAAAGTACTATCTGTGTTTTTATTTTAGGAAAGAAACATTTCAGGGATGGAAAAGATGTTTCTTTCTCCAATTCCTGTCTATCTGTTTGAAATTTGAGCCCATGAGTTCTTGGCCAGCTTTATGCTTTTAGCACCTGGAATGTAATTAGGTAGCGTGTTGGCTTAATATTTCATTTAAATGCTTCAGAATGGATTTTTCTCTTCTTGGCATTTTGCCTCTATGTGAAATTGCAGGTCCATTCACTAGAAAATTTAGAACACAAACCTTTTTCTGCACTCTCCTTGCATTGCCAAATGTCTTGCTCCAAAGCAGGCTTGTTTTAACCGAATTAAGAGGATGACCTAACAGCAGGCTCTGTGCAGATTGGAGAGACATGAGGCTGTTGTAACAACAGCACGGTGTGGTTAGGAGTCTCCTGAACTTGCCAGAAATTACAGTCATGCATCATTTAAGGAGGAAATGCATTTCTTCCTGAAAAGAGCCAAAATTTTGTTTAAACTGATCACTATTATTAATGGTTTATGGTTGGACTTTTACCCTCATGGGACCACTTGTCAAAGACAACAAAGTAAAGTATTCAAAGCAAAACTATAATATGTTTATTTTTCCTTTCAGGGGAAAAATGATCCCATCTGATCTTGAAAGAAGGATCCTTGAAGTCAAACAGAAAGTAAGTTTTTATAGGAGCTTTGTCCAGCCCATAACAAGCTAAGGTTATGTATTTCTATTTCTATCCAGTGGAGAACACACTTCAGTTTTCTTTTGAACAGAAGACCCAAGCCATAACTTCACAGCTTTAATGAGAATATGGAAATTTTTCATTCCATCAATATTTATTTCTCTGAGTTGTGGGCTCTGCTTTGGAAAGGTCTAACTTGCTGAATAAATAACATACACCGTGATATTGTATAGAGTTTCGAAAGCTTCTATCTTCCTATGTGATAAAGATTGACATTAAGCAAATGCACATTCGAAAGATTGTTTTCACAAATGGAAAATATCAGAATGTTAGTGCAGCATGGGAGTTCCTGTTGTATGATTATTTGAAAGAGGCCAGCTTTTCCTGCCTAGACACATACTGATATGATTGGCTCTCCAAACATCTTATTTTTCAGGAAACAGTTTAGAACTCTTTGTAGAAGTAGCAAGTTCTGGAAAGTCATTTACATCCCTGGATGGTTTGCAAGCTGGAAAGCTTGTTTTTTAGAGTTCTCTGTTTAACTTTCAATACATATAATCTACAGTTCCTAGTTCAATGATATAACACATGCATTTGGTTATTATGAACTCAGGAATAATTATTTATTTTTTTATTTTCATCTGCCTCCCCCACCCCTACACACACAAATTGGCCCCAGGAGGTTCCCCTCCTTGTGCTCAAACTACTTCTGGTAACTGTAAATCACGGATTAAACTTTTGCTGCCACCTGCAGGCTGACTCTGTAACTTCATGTTAGCGCCATGTAGAGAAACTGGTCATCCTAGTTGAGGCATTCTTCTGCCTACATTCAGCAGCACCTAATATTTTAATCAATTTTAGTTTAAATTAGAGCCAGACAGACTGAGATCTATGAACACGGATAAAAGCCATGGCTTATTGTTCATGTGAATCCTCTTCTCTAAGACTCCAAAAATGTTATCTGAGGGTTTTCCAAATAGGAGCAATGGGCTAATTGGAGTTCTTTCTCTTCGTTCTCTTTTCTGCTCACTCTACGGGGATTTATTAAGTTCAGAGGCCCTGTTATGTAAAAGGAAAAACAGAAATTCAGCAAAGGGGGGGAAAGGCCAGAAAATCTCCCTGGAATATATTAATAGTTTAGGGGGCACCACAGAGCTTACTCACCTCTGGGTCCAGGGTAGCCTCTTCTGAGAACCAGAATGTCTGTCCTCATAATGAAACTGGCAGGTCCAACAGAATGGCTTGGAGTGTGATACTAGAGCATGATCATCGTTCCTGCCAGGCTCCAAGGTGTCAACGCCATTCTGAAGGCTCCTAAAATGCAGATGTGTATTACAGGGAGTGAATTTCCACTGTTTTTGTCAGCTTTTTTAAAAAAAATCCTTGAACCTGTGTTTTACATTATTCGGGGCTTTGTCGTTTGTACAGGGATTCGTTCCTTTCCTTGTGAGTGCCACAGCTGGGACCACCGTGTACGGAGCATTTGATCCTCTCATAGCTGTCGCTGACATTTGCAAAAAATATAAGATCTGGATGCATGTGGATGTAAGTAATCCCATAAGGCCTGCCACCGAAATGTCTTTGCACATTTTCCACCTGGGGCTTGTGGAATGATTCTCCTCTCTCTCTCTCTCTCTCTCTCTCTCTCTCTCTCTCTTACTTTAGAAGCTTATTTTGAAATGGTGGTATTTCCCTTCAGCTTTTAAGGACTGCAAAGACAAAAGAGCATACAACTCACATAGCATTCAACATTCACTGCAGGCAGTCTGAGGCTGATTATGCCTTAGTGCATTAGTTCCCAACATGACGATATTATTTCTTTGACCAGCACCCGAGCTGAGTACTTAGTTCTCAATTCATTGAGCCAATGTCCCATGTATATACACACATGTAGAGCTTACTTCCCTGCTAAAATGATCAAAAAGGCAAATAGGATTTGAAGTTTTATGGGAAACTCAGAGGGTAAAAAAACCCCCTAAAGGCAGGTATTTGTATATATGGAGACGAAAGCAGACTTGACAACTTGCTAAGAAATATCTACCACCAAATTTCCAGTTTCTTAGCTTGGTCAGCTAAGAAGATAAATTATACGAGAGATGTTTTGACGCCAGGCTCAGTCACACAAATAATGGAGATGTGCCCACCAAAACATTTTCAAATGAAAAAATTATCAACTTTTAGGAGAAATAGATGTAAATTTAGGCCAGTGTTATTCGAAGCATGACTCAAAGATTAGCTGCTATCTGCAACCTGCTAATGATCCATGATGAGATAAGAAGTTGGTGCCAAATTATCATCAAGCTAATATTTGGCACAGCCGACATTTTTTTGATTGTGAGACTTTACATTCGATTTACATGCTGATGCAAGAATGCTGTTGAGTAGCACTGGCTTTATATCATGTTTGCTTCATAAGTATTCAGACCAAATTACCTCCCCTTTCTTTAGGAGCAGAATATGTCCACAGGCTAAACTAAGTCCATTTCTGTTATTCCAGAGGTGTCCTGCATAGTAATGACCAATTTTCTTTTCCTTGTCTAATTCACAATGTGAGTTGTTCATGAGGCTACCAGAGACCCCTTCATTTTATACCCAAAGACACTGAGGAAAGGTTGAACAACTCAAGTACCATCAGTGACCTGGATCTCAGAACTGGGGAGCCTAATGAACCTTGCTAGCTGTCGGGGGAAGAGGATTACCTCGACAATTTTAAAAGTAATAGTGTGTGTATGTCTTTAGCCAGCAGAGGCTGTGGTCTCTCCTCCAGAATTTCTACTGAAAATGGAGCTGAGAGACCTTTTAACCAATTGTATTACCTTTCTTTGAAACCTATCAAGTTTGCCACTTACCCTTATTATTTTTCATGTTTATACATTCTATAATTAAACTAAAAATAAATCTTAAAATATTACACAAAATATTTGGAAAATTGGGTAATTTTCCTAAATATAAAAGAACTGAAATTACAACAAAGGGGGGGGAAAGCAATTATATCCTAATAGTTATTTTTTTTCTTTAACCTTATCCCAAGGTTATTTTTACTCACGAAGAATTTTACAATGAATCTCCATCTTAACATCCTATTTTTTAAAGATTACTACATCAATTCAAATCTGCAAACTTGAAAACAATTTTTTTTTTTTTTAGCTGAGCCATCCTGCCACCTGTTAGCAGCTCAGCTGCAGCTCAGCTCAGGCCAGGACTCGAACCGCTGTTGCTCAGAGTCACACTGTTGAGCGAGCTCTTAACCGACTGAGCCACTCAGCCAGCCTGAGAACAAATTTTTAAGGGACATGTTCTCATTATTCAATTAATTGACTGGTACAAATCTTTCCTGCGTTTTTTTTTGACAGAGAAATTATCTTACCCAAAACTACACCGCAGTAATATAGGCTTGTGAAGCTGATTCCTCCTTCTGGAATCATCAAGACTTGTCAAAAGAGTATTCCTTGCAACTCAGAAGCTATTTAAAGGGTCCCTAGCTCATCTTCTTGACTCTAAACTGTGGAGATAATAGGGGTTCTCCTTCTGAGACAATGAGTTTCACTACAACTGAGTGCTGGGGATGGCTTGCAGGGAGAATTTGTCTCCTACTCATGCAGACCGAGGAAATGTGTATCCAGCGTGGCTCCTTACACCATATAAATGTAGGATGGAGCCGAAGACCTTTAATAACCCCCCAATTTAAACTTTGAAAATCTAGTGCCAAAAGAAGGTGGCCAACCCCCTACGTTGCCTGGGCTCTGGGAGACTGACTGTTCTGAAAGACACCAAACTATAGAAATCTAGGCAATGAACCACTGCCACCTTTTTTCCTTATATGATCTTCCTTTTTCAGGCAGCTTGGGGTGGAGGATTGCTGATGTCCCGGAAACACAAGTGGAAATTGAGCGGCGTGGAGAGGTACACACATTTGTCTTATTCACAAAGTGTGAAAGCTAAATGTGAAAAGCAAATTACACCCAATTTCCAAGAATTGTTGGTGAGTAGGTGAGCCCATTCTGTGCAGTGCTGTGTGCATTGTGAGGCCATACATGTGTGACAATTGTGTGTAAATGACAAAAAGAAGTCAAAGCCCATATCAAGTGACCCAAGTGAACTGTCTCTCAAACAGAGATTCCTAACTGGGGATTCTGAACCAACCACCCAAATTGTTTAAAACTGCAGGCAGTCCACCGTTTTCTAGGGAGACGATCTATAGCTCTCGTGTTCCATAAAGGATAATATCCAGTGCTTTAAAGAAATCAATAAATAATTTGACAAAGCACACAAGCACCTTGTAATTTATCAGTGTTGAAAGTTTAGGTTTGGGGTTTAATGTGACTAGTTTACATAAAGTGAAACATGCTTTCATTCCCATGATTTTTTTCTAACGTAGTTCTGATGGATGCCGCAAAGCACCCTTTATTCAGACACTAAGCAGTGGATCATTGAGAAAAGCTGCAAACCACAAAGGAGGTAACACCTGATTAGCATAAAGCATATTCAGGCCCAAAGGAAAACGAAAAGAATTACAGAATGCAGCCTCAACCTCAGGGTTTGGTTCTGGACCACTTGCCAAAGAAGCTCAGGGTTCCCAGTTCTCCCATCACTACACATCAGGTCAACTTGCAGTTGTGAGCTCTGACACCCCAGGCAGCTGAGAAAGCCTGAGTTCATCCGAGGCTGCCAAATGCCCACCATGCTCCACCAAGCAGCCAGATGCTGCCCAGGAAAAGCTTCCTACTGACTCTGCCCCTAGGCAGCTTGGCACAATTTCAGGACGAGGATAGAGGCTGATGGCACTAGGGAGCATCTGTCAGCACTGATCAGGCAGAGTAGCCAGGCCGGAAGGAACACACAGGGTGTGCCGTGTGACACCCAGGCCCACTCACATGCAGAGAGCCTGTGAGGATAGAGTGAGGGGGCAGGGTTACTGAGGCAGAGTCAGGGTCACCCGGCTTCATTAGTGAAAAGAAGGCTGGAGACTCGAGAAAGACCAGCTGAGGCCCCAGCCGGCAGGGTTGCTGTCCCTGAGTCAGCTACCCATGCTCTAACTGCAGGTACCCATGCAGGTGTGATGAGATAAGGGCAGGCCTATCCCCTTCCCGCACTGAACCAGTTCAAGTCTCTGCTTCTGGTCCGTGGGGGTTCTCACAGGCCGAATTCCTTTTTGTCTTGACAATATACATGCAACCAGAAGCTTAAGGAGGAGCGATGAACTAAACAGGGAGAGACAATGAACAAAAGAGAGCAATTTAGAAAGTGCCTGTTCAGGTGATCAGAACAGGAATTAAATTCATGTGGTTTTGAGAGAGATGTCCTGTACACAGTACCTTCTCTTCTTTGAGTTACTTTTTGACTGACACAAAAGCGAGCGCCTGTGATTCTACCGTTAATGCCACCTGGGACTCCAAGTGCTGAAAGCCGTGCATCACCCTACGCCGATGATTATGTGACAGCTCACTAAATTACCTCCCCCGAGCCTTGGAGAAATACACACCCACATGCCTTTTGCTAAAGACTATTATTTGAGAGCAAAGCTAAGAACATTCACCATGGAACACAGAGTCCTCTGTGATTGCCACAATCCTTGGAACAGTATTGTAACTAAATCTACCAACTGGAATAGCCAGATATGAAGTCCTAAAAATGAGGGACTGCTGTTGTTCTGCCTTGTGCAGAACCCCCTTAGTTACCCACTTGCCTGAGAGTATCCATCTTGCTGAATTATCAACAAAAGGCACACTTTCTTTGGTGAACAAGGTGTTAGAGCCAGTGGAAACCCCTGAGCACAATGTACATGGACACAAGTTTAGGAAAGAAACTGCCTCGTTTGGAGTATCACGTTTTTCTCCAAGCATGAGGACTCATGCTAATGTGGGGGAAATCCACAGTTGATTCTTGTCCCCAAATCCAGAGGTTCGCCAGTGGTCGCAGGGATCCCAGAGTACCGTCCTCATAACACAATGGCACAGGCACCCAGAACCCTGCTGGCATCTCCTTCGAGAACCAACCAAATTCTCAGAAAGTGACGTTCCTTGCGAACACGGGCAAAATGTGTCGATACGGTGTTGCTCACAGAGCGTGCCAAGAGCCCTGATGCTCCAAAGTCTGTTTCTGTGCATTCTAAACTGACTCTTCTTTTATTTATTTTTTTTTTTTTCAATTACAGTTGACCTTCAATATTATATTAGTCTCGAGTGTACATCACAGTGGTTAGACATTTGTATAACTTACAAAGTGAGTCCTGCCCCCATAAGCTTGTTACCCCACTGACACCATACATACTTTTTACAATATTATCAACTATACCCCTTTATATCCCCAGCTATTTTGTAACTGCCAGTTTGTATTTCCTAATCCCTTTTCCTATTTCGCCAAACTGACCCTTCTTTGACCCTCCTGCAGCAGGCTGCTGCTCACCTGCAGGAATCCATTGCTATGGTCCACTCGCAAGGCTTCCTGGCCTGGCTGAAGCTTCTGCCTCATTACCAGTCACTGCCCTCACTCCCGACCTGAGAGCCAGGGGTTCAGAAGCCCTAGTCAGGAGTAACTGAACCTCTGCCATATGCAAGCCGCAGAACGAGGCACCACGAGGGCACACAGACAAAAGTGATATGAAGCCCGTCTTCAAGGTGCTTAGAATCTAGCAGGGAAGATGGGCGATCAACAGTGGGTTACAATGCAAGGCATAGAAATAAAGGCCCAAGAGACAGGCAAGCAGGCTGACCGGAAGACACGGGGAAGGAGTGCGTCCTTCTTGGTAGGGCTTGTCACGGAGGCCTTCACTGGGGCTGGGCATTGGAGCTTTCGCAAGGGGAAGTGGAAGACTGACTTCAGGTGATGAGCAGGGACGCAGAGGTTTGAAAGCGTTCTTGGAGAAAGTCCCGACGAGTTTGCTTGGAGGCAGAGATGGAGTCATGGCAGAGACTAGGAAGCTGGCGGAGTGTCCACAGTCCTGTCCAATGGTGTCAGCGGAGGGCCTGCCTACAGAGCGGGGTCAGGGTCACCATCACCCCTGAGCTGCCTGTCACCGCATTTGAGCCACTGTTATGCACAGAGAGCATTGTATTTCTTGGGATGGGGAGGAAGCTGGAAAGGCCCTGCCGTAGCAGCCAAGGCGGGGTTTGAGGAGAGGAGTGATGGTATTCCGCCACCGTTTTGGAAAGATAAGTCAGGATTTGAGGGGAGATGGAAGCCAAGGACTGAGCAGAAGCTGTTGGGCAGATGCCCAGGTGTGAGAGGCAGCGGAGGGGAGAGAGGCTGGGGGTGACGGAAGCCGCAGCAGCTGGAGGGAGACGAGCCGGTGAACCCATGGAGTCACTGTCAGGAGATGGAGAACAAGCGAGTGAAACCAAAGCAACATGTTGGGGAGCTGGACGCGTGGTGCGAGGAACTGAGGCACAAAAGATAGAAGAGAGGATAGATCTGGAAGGATGAGGAGGGGCAAGCGAGTGAGTTCAATTGAGGTGCAAATGAGGGCGCAAGGCGGTGTCTGAAAATAGCCCTAGGGGCCTCGGTTCTCGTTGACTTCAGGAAAATCACAGACACCCACGTGACTGAATCCCAGAGCAAAGCATTTTGAAATGAACCCGAAGCTGTGTTTCATGAACTAACAACATTTCTCAAATAAATTAAGGCCACGTCACTGAATCACTCTGCACAGCATGTGGCCCCCTTTGTGAGGCAGCCCTTCTGAGACAGAGGCGGGACAGCGACTGGGCGTTGGGGGCCTTGGCACTTTCTGGTCTAAAACAACACATTGGCCACTGCATAGAGATAAACACCTCCAGTCAGAGAAATGGAGAACAGCTGTTTTCTTGTCCATTCGTGTCATTACTGACAAGGCTGAGTTTCATCAGGATTAGGTACATAGCCGTAGAATTTTGTAGCATGGCAGTGTCTGTGCGCCCAATGTCACAAAGCTCATAAACAACAGAGTTGAAATCAATGGCTAGAGCCAATTTTATGGTGTGTCAGATACAGTTATAAGCACTTTACCCAAACTACCATTATTCTATTTACAGACAAGGAAATCTAGGCACAGAGAGGTTAAGTATCTTATTCAAGGTCACACAGCTAGGAAGTGATAGAACCTGGGTACAAACACACACCGTCTGGCTCACGAGCTCTCTTCTCTTAACCACTGTTACCTACTGCTGAGAGCCCAAATATCTTGATTCTGGTCATTCTACAGAGCTAGGAGATATTTTCTTGGAAGGAGATTTTCAGTACCACAGTTCTATTTATTACTCATGAAGTTATTTAGTCCTTTTTGCAGGGTAGTAGCCATCTGGCCATGAAGTGCCTTTGCTTCTTTCCTCAACTCTAGTCCTACCATATCTAACAGCCCATGTCAGGGCCAAAGAAAGACCGGAAGAAGAGCCAGAATAATCATTGATTCAGATAAGATCCCCAGGCCAGTCAGTGTCCTCTGACTGGTGCCTGAGCCCGCCATTTATCAAACAGATGAATAGGATCTTTCCCAGCTTCTCATTTCTTCCTGAGGTTCTCACACCTCAGGTGCTGGAAGCAGGTGAGCCCAGGTGTGTTGTTCAGCCGGAGGAGAGGCAGCAGTCCACAGCAGCTGCCCTGGATGGCACTCCTACCTTCCTCCTCCTGTGAGTCTGTTTATACCAAGGTCACATTGCTGATCCTCATCCGCAAGCATCCCTCAGTCTCTCAGAAGATGTGCGCAGAGACTCGCCTGCCTGACACTCATGTAAAGTGAATGATGGGACTCATGGAGGGACAGCTGCTTTCCCTGGGAACTGGAGGAGGACGGGGTTGGAGCAGGAGATCGGAGTGAGGGGGAGACGAATGAAGTCCAGGAAAGGTGCAGGAAAAGACGTGTTCTGGGCCTTAAAGAATAAGTAAGATTTAGCCAAGTGAAGCAAAGGGAGGTGACACCCCAGAACAAGGAAATCACATGAAGAGACCCAGGAGCATGACAATAGAATTTTTGGTGAACAAAACTAGTCTGGTATGATGGAAATGGGTACAAGAAAGTGAAAGGACACAGGACTGAACACGTAGCCTGTGGCTTACCCATGTGGGCATCATAGCCATACCCTACAGTTCAGAATTTAGACTGGAGGCAAAAAGAAGTTGTTAACAATTCAGAAAGAGCAGAGAAACATAAACAGAGCTAGAAGATAACTGTGGTGCTGGGTGGAAGATGAAATGGAAACTGAAAGTCAGTTAAAACACGATTGCTGTATCCAGATTAAAATAATAATAATAATATTTATTATTATTATTATTATTATTATTGAAGGAATCTGAATCAAAACTATGGTTTAGACTTTTCAAATACAATACCTGAGCTGAGAATCACTAATATTGGTGGGAAAGCGTTATATTTCCCAAGTGTGTTAAACCCCAATCGATAGAAGCCACAGAGTATCTCACCTGCAGTCTAGAAAGATAACTCTGGATTAGAGAAGAGATGGAAGCAGGGGACATGCTAGAAGCCATTATGAAAGGGACACATTTGAAAAGTCTGGTAATCAGTTAAATTGGAAGAAGAAACTGGGCGAGGAAAAGAATAAAATACATCAGTGGCATGTACCTGGCTCTGAGCTCTGGGCCACTACAGTAGTATCAGAAGCCAGAACAGCGGGGACGCACGAGGGCAGCTCCTTCAGCTGCTTGATGCTCTGTGCCTCGGACTCTGCACCAGATGATCCTGGTCACTCGAAGGGGCTGTCAGACCACCGTAGAAGCTGAGTGATTGTCTCCTTGGGAGGTCAGGGGGCACCTCACGGAGACACTAGCCCTCGCCTGCTGTCTCTGTAGACAAAGAAAAGGTTGTAGATTTAAGAGTCCACTTATCGTTTCACAAATTTAGTGTCCTCCTAGAGTCTGAAAAACAGCACCAAGAACCCTGGAACTCTGTCACCCATGACCAGGACCTCTGTAGTCTGAGCCTGTCATGGGTGCCACCCTCTTAACATGATTTCTCTCCTCTAGGGCCAACTCTGTGACATGGAATCCTCACAAGATGATGGGCGTCCCTCTGCAGTGCTCTGCTCTCCTGGTTAGGGAAGAGGTATGTCTTTCCTGACTGGTGGCTCAGTCCATCCATGGGATTAGACAGAGTACATGTGTGTAGTGACAGAATCAGAATACAGGATGATTTTACAGGCCGGGCCAGTGGGCCACATCCAACAAGGGGAAACTGTTAATGAGCATAATTGTAAGGTTCTGCTCTTATGTCCTGGGATAGGATGGCTGTCGCTGGACTAGACAAGACAGGCATGCTTCACACATGGCTAAGGTGTTGTACTTGTGAAAAAAAGCATAGGATGTTAGGTTGTATTCTGTGGGGTCAACAATGGGTCAAGAGAAAAATTACCATTCATGAAACATTAATGAGATAAAAGAGTGGAGTTTCATGATGATGGAGATGGTGGTGGTCCTCTACTGTCTTCTGGTTAAACCACACCTGGAGTGGTTTGCTTACCTTGGCGCCAAATGGTATATGCGACTCCATCAGGCTAGAGCTCCAGCAGGGGAGAACACTTGAAAAACATGTAAGAGAGGTGGTTGAAAGAACCAAGGACGTTTAATCTAAAAGAAAAAGCATAAACAAAGAGCTGAGAGGAGCGCAGCCTTCACAGTTTAAATAACTCTCAAATGGAAGAGATTCATTTTTCTCTTGAGGCTTCAGGGAACTGGGTTAGTAACACTGGGTGGTACAGATTTGATGGGGCAAAATTAGAATACTCATGGTTTTAGGTCTGACTTGGGGTCAATAAAAGTAATGCTTTTCTAAAAATTAAGTCGTCCAACAAGTAATGCATGCTTTTTGTGGGGATGCGTTAATCACCAGGGGAGGTGATTGGATGGAGATTGGACAGTCACTTATTAGTAAGAGGATAGAAAGGATTCCTTCATTGGGAAGGAATAGATTAATAGTTCCAGGATCCCTTCCACATCCAAGAGTCTAGAATGCTCTGACAGCATTTCCCTTAGTGGGGCCCAAGAAATAATGCCAATCTATAAGATTATACTATGTATTCTGTGATAAGAGAGTATTCACTTTATAAAAAGCTTGGGCTACATTGGATTAAAGAGTTAAAAACAAGTTTCATTATTGCAGGGCATATCAGGGCCTTTAATATGCTGATATATATTGCAAATATCTAAAAAGAAGGGATTTATGATACAGCATTTCCTGTTTAATTTGACCATTGGAATCTCTTTCACAGCAACTATTTTACGGCACAGCAATTATTCATGTGTTTAAAATAGTTTGGATCCTAATGGTTTATAACTTTTTAATGGCTCAGAATCAGGATATTATCTCATCAAGGTCTTTTATGTGAAAAATACTATCACTTTTTCTTATCCTTTTGTACATTGAGACTGGTACAGCCCAACCTTTAAAAGGTCGTGTGCGTTGAGTGGCTTTTCCTATCCCAGTAGAAGCTGGTCCAATCTGTTACTATTCCACACTCTCTGGGGTAGCTTCCCCTAGGATTGATGGCACCTATTTGCATGCTGGCATGTCTGGGGGAAGATTGGTGCCAAGTTTCTGTGACCATGAAACAATATAGAAGCATCTATCCCAATTTTCAACTTTATTGGTCTTCAAGTAAATTTTCTTTTTCAAATTATATCTTTCTACAATTATATTGTATAATTTCTCTTACTCTTAAAAAACAACTTAATGAATTCCACTGAATATGAAGCCTAAACTACAAATTTGGGCCCAGTTCTGTTGTCTACCATCTGGGCCCTCCATCTTTTAGGACCTAGTGAAAATTTTAGTTGTGTTGAATTGTTTTAGTTTTGATAATTTTTTAAAAAGGGTTCTCACTGCTAGCTTCAACTAAATATCACATGTTAGTCTTTTCTTGTCATGAGTCACGAGAGAAAAAAAAATGCCAAAGCTTCTATAAAATCACAATTACACTGTAGGCAATGAAAGAGTCAAAGGATCGCTGTGGTTCATGACAAATTGAAACATGGTGGAGTTTCCAGTGAGGAGACTGGCAGTGCAGTTTTAGTCAGAGAGCATGATTCATTCACTGTCCTTGGGAATACTTCAATCACTTTGCCACCTATTTTCCATAGTAAGCTTATGGTGCCCCGGAAAATTAATGGTCATCGACCATGAAACTTTCCACTGTAACTACCATATGCAACTGAGTATGAAAACATGGTACTGACACTTTAACCACTCTTGAGAGAGGAACATGACATTTGAAAGATTGTTTATTTAAGATATCTCAAAGTAGCAATATCTTTATTTGTTTAGATGTCAGCATATGTAAATGATTGTAATGAACTGTCTTAAAAGCTATGATTTTCAAAGACAACTCAAACCTTAACAGCTAAAAGATAAAGTACTTGGACTAAATATCAGTGAAGCACTAAAAGAATCACATTAATAATATTTTACAGAACCAAAAGTTTCCAAAATATTTTAATTGCAACAAAAGCCAGAACATCAGGATGTTCTCCCAAAGAATGAACATTACACTCTGACTGTGATTTTTTTTTTTAAATACATGCCTTCTCTGGTTCATTTATCCCACAGAGCTGACATATCACAGCAGCCCACCCTGTCCAGATATTGGACCCATTTTTTTTTCCATTTGATTCTAATTATTTTCTTTCTCCAGAATACCCAATGTCTCTTTCGTTTATTTTTTCTTAATAATTTCCATCACAATGTAAATCTAATAGAACACTTGAGAAAGTCAGTAATTTCCTAAGTTTTCTCTTCTCTTCTAGGGCTTGATGCAGAGTTGCAACCAGATGCACGCCTCCTACCTCTTCCAGCAAGATAAACACTACGACTTATCCTATGACACTGGAGACAAGGCCTTACAGTGTGGACGCCATGTTGATGTTTTCAAGTTATGGCTGATGTGGCGAGCAAAGGTGAGCATGTGTAGATTAGTTGACTGTCAGCTGAAAACACAAACTATACCTGGTGACCCTTAGTATGACACGTGAAAAATTGATTTCCAAATTGAAAATTCCCCCAAATTGAGTTTCTTTACTCCTATATCTAGATACCTGCAGTCTACCCATGATAAGAATATAATCAAACCTGTGGTATATTTTTAAAACTGTTCGAGAGCACACCAATAATTCATATTCTTGATTGATTGATTTATATAATTAAACCCATGATATTTGTTTTTCCTTTTAAGCCAAACTGCTCTGAATACTCACTCACCTAGCAAATAAATCCATGTTGCTTTATACAGCAGAACATCTGGTGTTTCCATGGTATTTTGTTCTTTTTACCCAGTGATTGATAACTTGGGCAGGTTAATGCAATCAAAAAGCGTATGTTTGGAGAACAAAAAGAAAAAGTAGAAAATTCCTCAGGAGAGCTTTTTTGACTTTTTAAAGGGGTAACCTCTAGTTATAAAGCTTAAAAAACGAAACAAAACGAAAAAACTCCAACAGTACCTAGTGACCTCCTTTTGTGCAGTTTCTCTACTGACCTCAGGATTGAACTGTAGAAGATCGCTCCTCTCTCAGAAATGAAAACTCTGTAACTAATAGTGTGCAGTACTAGCTGGATCTATCTGTCGCCTTCAAAGAGCATTAGTGTATGTTTAAATGTAAGCAGGCTGGAAACGTTGATTTTGATTTTGACCAGATTCCTAACTTAAATGTCACAAATCCCCACTGGGTTTCATTTATCTCTCCCAGGAGGCGCTGGCCAGAGCTAGCAGGACATGCTAGAAAAACCCAACTTTTAAAAGTACTTGAGGGAAGCGTGACAAAGGAAGTGAGACAGGGAGAGATTAGAAGGAAGTTGTTGGGGTGACTGGTTAGCTCAGATGGTTAGAGTGTGGTGCTGATAACACCGAGGTTGCCGGTTCGATCACCGTATGGGCCACTATGAGCTGCGCCCTGCCTAAAAAGAGTCAATTATGCCATTGTAGCATGAAAGCAATGTGTAACTAATGACCATGGCAGTTCCCCAATAAAATTAAAAAAAAAAAAAGGCAGTTGTCATGCCTCGAGGTCCTGTATATGTGGGAAAGGCCCCACAATTTGGCTCTAAGCTTTCTAAGTAGCCTACACAAAGAGCTGACAGATTCAATCCCATAGGAACAAGCAAATAACTTTGTCAGCAGGAGTGAGACGCGCTAGGATGAGACCACGTCCACAGCCACAAGCTCCATATGCTGTTGTTTATACAGTTTTTCAAAGTAAACGGAATGCCTTAAGCAGTTTAGAGGGAGGGTTGGCTTACAAGAAAAGGAGGGGTCTGGGGAGTGACCCATGTAGTCCATGATGATTTTATGGAATCTTCTTTAAATCCATCCTGGAAAAAAGGCAGGTTAAATAGAAGAGATGGTCTTGCTTCATGTAGAAATAACTCTCAGATGGTCTCCAGGGATGGCAAGTCTACAGATGGCAAGTCTACTATTATTTACCCTAGCTGAGTTTTCTCTAAGTGTTGTTAAGTATTGAACAGCTGCCTGGCGTGAGGACTCAGGTAAGTTGTGGCCCTTAAAAGTGGTGTGATGGGTGCGCTCCCATCCTTTGAGTTGGGCAAGGGACCTCTTCCTCCTTTAAAAGTTGAGAGCCTGACAAGGACACATACCTGGTCCCCACCACCCAAGATGAGACTCATCCTGCTGGCAATGACATTTTCATTTGGGAAAAATAGATAAATCAAGAATACGAATTATTGATATACTCTCAAGCAGTTTTGAAAGGAGTAGGATTTTACTTCATCACTTGGTAAGAATTACAAAGTATCAGCTAGTAAGTTGAAGAAAGCTTGATCTCTAAATATTGTTCAGTAGCATCCTTTTTGTCTCTTTTTCCTGTGGTGTTTTTATTAAGGTGATGTTCATTAGCTATGTTTACACAAAAACGTTTCTCTCATGTTTCATCAATTCCTGCTGCTCCTTCTCCATCTGCAGGCTCCTCACCAGCGTGGTGCAGCTGGTTGGTTCTTAGAGAAATAACTTAGAGGACATCAGGTGTGAATTAAACAGCAGGACCAAATGAGGTCTGAAATAAAGGCAAAGGATTCCGTTTCTAAAGTACTGAAATAAAAGCACCAGGAGAGGGGATAAAAAGAGAAAAAAGAACCATCACAACAGCTGCATGACTTGTGGACACATGTCCTCTTAATTCTTTATGCAAAACCTTAAGTAGCTAGACATCTAAACAGCAAAAACTCCCTTTTGGCTTTCAACGTAAAGCTGCTTTTTTTTTTTTGCAAAATGAGATGACAATAATTGTTAAAGTAATAAGCTCCGTCCTACACTCTGGATCAGAAGTGAGGATAATTATCGTCTCACATCCAAAGCTCTCTAGTAATGCCACCCAGGGAAGGAGAAGTCATCTGTCCCAAAAAGAGCCATGAAAGAGTTGGCCATCATGTACCATCTTGCATGCCCTCATGCCCTCAGAAATGAACAAACAAGGTGAAAAATCAGAAATGAGGAGGAGGAGCCTAGCATTAATCAGGAAACCCTCTGTTACCACACCTGCCTAGGGAATGCAATGTTCACATGAATCCACATTTTCTCCTTAGTAAGATAAACCCCATGAAAAACAGTAACCTAAATATAAGCTACTATTCCTTAGCCTGTAATGACGAATGGAGCTACATGCACTGAGGATGCCCATCATATTAGGTCCAGGATAGCTTCATTATAGCAAATTTATGCAAAAACAAAAAACAAAACAAAACACGAGCCTCCTGATAGTGGGAGGTGTTCTAGATGGTGTCACAATATATAATCCTGTCATCAGCACTAGCACTGTTCTTTTCGGGTAGAACTTTCATTTTGTCTGCATTTTATTAGAGCATCCTAGGGCTTGATCATTATTTTCCATTTTGACAGTTTTCCTCAGTGGTAAAAACTTGGTGGTAGAAAGAAAAAAAAAACTTAAAATTCGTCCCCCTTTTTCAGGCCTCCAGGGATGGCTTAATATGTACCTAACGAGTTTTCATAGTAAATCTCTGTGTTTTTATCTTACAAATTGGCAGCTTTCCTTTTAGTTTTCTGTGATTAGCTTCCCTACTTTAAACATAGATAACAGAGGGGCTGGCAGAGGGAAAAATAATAATAGGAGAAAAGTATTAATGGCAAATTGATGCGTGGAACCCTTTGTTGAATGACTGAATGTTCACTTTCTCTCTAAAATATTAATTTTAATAAGTAGGTATTGAGCAGATGTTATTGTGCCTGGTACTGAATGAGATAAAGAGGCCACAATTTTCCAGACATGATAAGGTAAATGCACAGATAACCATTGCATGAGATAGAATTTCAATGGTCATAAAAGAAACGTAGACCTACCTTGAGAAGTTAAAGGATGGAGAGTTCATTCCTAGTTTGAGAGTCAAGAATGATTTATTGAGAGATGACCTTCAAGATGGATCTTGGACAAGATACTTAGAATAGTAGGATATAACCCAACAGAGCTGGGAGAAGGACATCCCAGAAAAAGGCCTAGCAGGGGCTAAAGCGCATGTTCTGGGCCTAGTGGAGAGTTTAAGTTGACAGAAGGGTAATCAGGGAGCTATTCTCCAGATGATGACAGTAAATGGGATTAGCAACCAAGGATTCAGTCATTATTTCAGAAGTGGCATCTCTGAGACCCAGGAGCACCAGACGAGAGTTTTAAGAAGCAGAGAAGAACCATGAGCAGCATTCACGATGTCAGGCCCTGAGACAACACAGAGACCACAGCTGAACAGTGGGAGTCCGCGAGACTGCTGAAGAAGATGACACAAACCATGTTCATCTTCCTGAAATTCTGATTTAGGAGTCTGGGGTGGGCCTGAGAAGCTACATTTTTAACACAAGTAATTTGGGTCTGACACAGAGGGCTCCTCAGAACATACATTGTAAAAACACTGCCCTAGTGATTGAAAGCTATACTTCCATTCATTCATCCATTCATTCAACAAATATGAGCACCTAACATGTGCCCGGCACTGCTGGTATGAGTGATACAACAGTGAACAAAAGAAACAACAGTGAACTCCCTTATGGAGTAGTCATTTCAGCCAGGTCAGTCTAAACCAACCCTAAGTATGTGGGTGATGCCAGAGAAAATAAAACCATATTCCCCCCTGCCCAAGCTCCTTCAGCATAACTCTGATGCTGGGGTCCAGCCTTTCACTTAGAAATGCCCTTTTGAGCCTTCAGTGACCTTCCCAGCAACTCGGGTCACAGTGATGGGACGCCTAAGAAAGAATGATATGTGCCTTAGTCATTCTCACAATAAGAGCCGTGCGGCATTTGATAGTTACTCAACAAAAGTTTGATGAATAAATGAATTTTAGATGATCTCCTGAAAGGCTTCAAAACCTTGAAAATAAAATATAGATTTTGGTTTCCACCAAAGGAAGGGCCCCAGGCTTCGAAGGACACACCAGAGTTTCTGATATCACTCCCCTTGTAACTCCTTAGCCTAAAGGGGCAGTCAGATTCCCCCTGATCATCTCCAGAGTGAAGTCCTGGACTAGCGAAAGCCAGAGGACTCCCACTCTGGTCTCTGGTAATCCCACTCCCTTTGCAATACAATCAAACTCGTTTTCAGAGCATTCGTTTTTACCTTACTATTTCTCTGCATGGGACATCAAACAGGTACCATTATTCCCACGTGACCAGAGAGCTTTGCCCAGGTCTTACACTGGATCGGATCAGACTCATGCTGATCCTTGCCGTATCCTGGATCAGGTATGTGCAAGCTTAAATCCAGCTCTAGACTGGACCAAAGAATCCAGTTTGGAGAGCAATTGACCTCCCTGCCTCCTACCTAGGGTCCATCACAAGTGGACCTAAACTTCCAAGTCAGTCCCAACCAATCCTAATTTCCTTGGCACACACAGACTCGTGGAGCACGTGGCGTGGGTGCTGGCCTCGGCATGCAGGCCTCAACCGAAGTCCTTCCTTAGGGTCATCAGGAACCAGTCAGCCTCCTTGAACCAATCACCAAAGAAATAGATTTCTGGACCCATCAGATTTCTGTAATACAGCTTGTTCTTAAACATGTATCAGGAGTTAAATATCACTGGCCACGCCGGATCCTCTTTTAGCCGAGATGACCAGACTGTGTATAAACACAAAAGTGGGCCCATCGCATCTCCATTACAATTGCTCCCTCTAGTTTCCAAGTTGGATTAGTCAGTGGAGGACAAGCTCTAAGAGCTCCTGGGATGAGCATGAGCTATTTTCCTGTTTCCCATTAGCACTCCACAGACACTAAAGGAGTTAGGAGGAAAGCAATTTTGGAAAGCAATTCCCTAGTGTGTCCTGATGTCAGTTAAAGAGCTCCAGTCCAAGTCTGTCATGTTGTTTTTCCTAAGTCCAGACGCTGGGCTTCCAGAGCTGGAAGCTAAAAGACCTCTGTGATAATATTCGCCGATTACACACACACACACACACACACACACACACACACACACACACACACACACGAGTCATTTATTCCCCAGAGGAGAAATCCAATGAGCTTTGCAGAATAACAGGCTAACAAAGTATTTGTGTGCCCCTTCAGATTCAATCACTCATTCATGAGTTCAGCAAATATTCATTGAGCATCTACCCTGTTTGTTCTATAATGGGGGTACATTGGTGAACAAAAGTAGGGTCTGGAAATGGCAAATTTATGTGATGGGCAGGGGCTAAGCAGCCATCCTGAAGGGTCCCTGGTGATGCTTTTTATACACAGGAAGACAATAGCCAAGCCCTCATGTCATTAATGACTTCCATAATTACCCCTATGAATGGAAGACGCCAATTTTCCCCCTGAGTAATCACAATAATTGCCTGGAGAATGGAAGCTCAAAAGAAAAGGAGTCACTGTGGAGGGCAGTAATGACAGACGTGGAAGGGAACAAAAACACCTGAGGGCGAGAGCATCAAAGGAGAAATGATTGCCAGAAAAGCCTCTAGAAACACTGTTTTATGTAAGGAAAGTGCTGGAGCAGACCTGAGACAGAAGTGGCAGAAAGTCCATCTGTCTGGAGAGATCGCTCGACCCCGCATCTCAGCCTGAGCTCTCACCCACCTTTCTCAGCTTGCCTGATAGTGTTTCTTTTTCTCTCACTTAGGGGACGACTGGGTTTGAAGCACACATTGACAAGTGTTTGGAACTGGCAGAGTATTTATACAATATCATAAAGAACCGAGAAGGGTATGAAATGGTGTTTGATGGAAAGGTATGTCTTCTGATTTCTACAATCCCAAAATGTTTAGCCAATTGCAATTCTTATCCCTGATATTTTTTATGTCAATAATATACTGTCCATATAAGTGGGACCTTTACAAAGGAGATGCAGGGACGACAGGGTAGTTATTCTGAGCCAGAGTAAAAATCAGAAAAAAAATAACTGTATAATGTTGTGAAAGTCAGGCACTCCAAAGGTGATTATGGATTTAAAAATAGGAATCATATTCAGAAGCTGTGGAATAAATAGATTAAAAATGCCCTTGAAATTTTCAAAATTGCCAGTTTGGGCTGAGTGTGAATCTTACTTTCCTCTTTGTAGCCTCAGCACACAAATGTCTGCTTCTGGTACGTTCCTCCGAGTTTGCGTTTCCTGGAAGACAATGAAGAGAGAATGAGCCGTCTCTCAAAGGTAAGTGACACAAGCTCCTCTGATACGGATGTTGGTGAGTACATTGGGCCTTTCACAGGCATATCATCTTTACAATGTATTCATAGGTCTTTAGGAAAAGTCTATCTTTGACCTTGGTGCATGGGCCCACTCTTGTCTGTGGGTTCCTGCAGAGCCAGGACATATAAAGTTTGTATATCCAGACTTTTAACAACTGTACTTGCTCCTGTTTTCTGAGAGTGAGTTTATGATGTCTTACAATAAACAATTAGATGAAACCTGTACTGACATTGACAACACGGTAAGATCCCCACCTGGCATTGACTGACCTGCCAAGCAAAACTGGTGCTCAGTTACAAGCTTGGAAGAAGAGACTTTGGACACCAGGAATGATTAGAAATAAAGCTGCTGGTGACCCTCTTGAGATGTCAAGGTCAAGGCTTCCCTAGGGGGTCTTTAGAGCTGTAGTGACTCCCAGAAGGTAACAGGGCCAGGAGCAGTAGTGATAACAGACACTGTTTAGTGTTGTGTCCCAGGCTCAACTTTGATCTAGCATTACATCACTGAACTCTCCCAGACACCTACTGTGGGAAGCACTGTTGTCTCTCCATTCTGCTGATGAGAAAGCTGAAAGCACAGAAAGAAAAAGTCACTTTCTCAAAATCACACTTAAAGTCTGACCCCAGAGCCTAAGAGCATGCACAGTGAATTCTACCATAGCCAGTACGAGCCCCTTTCTTTTATCCTCTTCTGCTCCCATCCTTATACGCAAGTGAAATTTGGTTTACAATATACACCAAAGAGAACCTTGAAGGGAGGTAAATGCAGGGGCCCATTTCCCACAGTGTTGGAGGAATGGGAAACAAGGGATGATCAAAATTATTTCGATTAGCTGGTTGGTTGGTTGGCTACTTGGTTGGCTGATTGGTTGGCTGGCTGGCTGTTTGGCTAAGTGGTATAGACCCCGAATGCTGGGAAATGTGGAATCTTCTGTGTGGTGTATGGCAAACAAGAGAATTAAGTTAAATTACTTGGAGGGCCGGCCGAGTGGCTCAGTTAGTTAAGAGCTCGCTCAAGAGTTTGAGCTCTGAGCAACAGCGGTTCGATGCCCGGCCCGAGCTGAGCTGCCGCTAAGCTGCCAACAGGTGGCAGGATGGCTCAGCTAAAAAAAAAAAAATTACTTGGCTTAGCATACAATGGGTTCTCAAAAGTGTTTGTTGAGCACAAGTGACATTTGCACCTTCCAAAACAGGGAAGGAAAACAACACTTAGAAAAACTATTAGCAAATCTAGACTTTTTCTCAGTGCACACGGTGGCATGACGATAGATATCTAGGTAATAACTGGTTTTTACTAAAACAAGCGTAGTCACAGCTTCACGAGGAAGGTAAAGATGAGAATCTGGTTCGTACACCCCCTGCTGCCCAGGAAGGACTGTGAGTGTGCTGATGGCACATTGTCACCAAGGCGAGTGGACCTGAGGGCCTGGGGTGCTATGGGGACATGAGGAAGCCTTTGATACAGGAAGGGACAAGAGGCAGACTTAAGGCAGGCGTTCCTCAGACAAGAATCCACAGGCGGTCTATTGAGCACCTCTTGAATTTTTGGCTCTTCTTCATCATTATCTTTTTTTTTTTTTTAAAGATGTTATTGGGGAATTGGGGAAGGGGAACAGTGTTGAGAAATTGGGGGAGGGGACCAGCCAAGTTGTTGTTCTTCAATCTTCGTTGTGGAGGGCGCCAGTCACCATCTGGCTTCCTGTCAGCAGCTCGCAGCCTCTAAGCTCAAGGTGCTGTGTTCAATCTTAGTTGTGGGTGGGCGTAGCCACCATCCCATGTGGGAGTCGAACCCGGCAGTCTTGTTGTTAAGAGCACACACCCTATCCATTGAACCATCTGGGTGGGCAGCAGCTCAGCTCAAGGTGCTGAGTTCAGTCTTAGTTGCGGGTGGACATAGCCCACCATCGAAGAGGCAATCTTGTTGTTACACCAGCTGAGCCATCTGCCACCTGTTGGCAGCTCAGCAACAGCTCAGCTCAGGCGCAGCATCACTGGCCCATGTGGGAATCGAACCGGCGGCCCTGTTGCTCAGAGCTCGCACTCCCAAGCCAACTCCTAACAAACTGAACCACTTGGCCGGCCCCATCATTATCTTCTTATATTTTAAATTTCATTATATTTGATCATTATCTGCATCTCTTCTATCAGCTTTTGTAGTCCTATAAGTGATGGGTGGTCTTTCAAAAGGTCAACTATGGATTTAAAAGTAAGTTGGTAAGGAAGTAGCTCAGCCTCATATTTAAGGTGACTCATTATATGTAATGGGGAATTTAATTGGTAAGATTTTAACATTATAAAATGTCTCATTTATGGTTGTTCTTATTTATTTTTCAATATTTCACTCATGCATCCAAGGTTTAAAAACAAAAAAGGTTTTGTAATACATAGTGAAAAATACATTTCTGTGATAGCTTGTAAGATTATTTCATGATGCTTCCATCTGAGCTCTCTTTGGAGGAGAAAAAAATGTGGATTCAAACTATGAAAGAGTACCCTGGTTATTGTTTTCTTAAGGATTGAAAAAACTGATGGCACACGGGAGAAAACGATACCCTAAAACTCTAAGGCAGCCTCAAAGAGCTCTTGCTACTTAGGCCCTTAGTAAATTCTTCAGCATGGAGTCTTTCTCTCCCTTCACTGACTTTCTTTATTCAGCAAAACCAAGAATGTGACCAAAACAGAAGTCTAGAAATAAGTGAAAACTATATATATTCATCAGAATAGTCAGGATTTTATTTTCCTGCAATTAGTGATTATGTAATGAAGTAAATGTTTCATGTTCCTGCTAGTTTTAGTTCATCAGCATTTTCTGGAAACCAAAAGTCATATGTATTTAGACAGTTATGATTTCCACGGACCCATTAAGTTTCAGAAACTGGGGGGATTCAATTTTACTTTATGCCAAAATCTGTTTGGGACAATGGCTATTACCATTAATCTCTTGACATTTGATTTGCATTTATCTGAAAAGTTGGAGGTGGTTCTCCTCCATAATTAGTGCCATTCATATGTTTTTTTGCTTGTATTGCCCATGAAAACTAAATCAGAGTTTAATTCACTGCATAAACTGTTTTATCAGTTCAAAAGAGCAAGCATGATTTATTGCACAAACAAAACTAAGGAGTTGTTATATGACTTTTTCCCCTTAAATTCCTGCAGACACATGAATTTGGAATTCCTTTTCTAATTTGGAATGTGTCTTCCCAGGAACACATTGACTTGCCAAGCCTCCCACCACAAGTGACAAATTTCATATCCTTAGGATAGAATATTCTAGTAGATCCATTTCAGAGCTTAATCCCAGACTTGAGATATTTAAATTCTTTTTCGTATTTATTCCCTGGGATGAACCTGATGCTCTGCACACATCCCTAATCCTTCGGGCCCAGCACAAACACCCCTCTTTATACTGCCTCTCCATGGAATAGGGAAGGGGTGGGAAGGAACTTGAGAATTTGTTAATCTAGAATCAGGAAATCTCAGTGCTGGGAACACTGTCCACATTTCCAGATGAAGGAATTGGGTTCAGGATATGAAGCAAAGGTGAAATGAAGGTGAAGACAAAGTCTGTCTTTGGCTTTGGCTTTGGTAATGAAGGACAGCAGAGTTTGCACTCCAAAATAGGCTTTTTGGGATATAGATTATTTTCAGCTAGTTGTTAAGGAACAAAAGACTCAGAAACAACCCCAGACCCTTCCCCTTTATCTGCCTAAATGAACTTAGATAGAGGACCTGCTCCAGAAAGGGAGTTACCATCACAGATAACTATAGTTTAACAAGAACTAGGTGTGATAAACAGAGAGAAACCTAGCAAGGCCCATTTGTTCTAAGTCCTCTCTCTGTCTGATAGTTAAAGAAGGCCCAAGAACATTTATTTACGAAACATTTGCTTTTCCATGGCTACGTGAACTGCCTTCCTGCCCTGCGAGGTCCTAAACCACAACCCCCCCCTCTCGTTAGCACCTGAATGGCATCTAGACCTCAACTGCCTGATACCTCCTGTGGTCTCATTACGGCACCCCGAATGTGCATCTGTAGAATAAACTTTGGACATTTTATCCTGTTTCTCTGTCTCTGTTAAATTTGGCCATTAGCCCAGCTAGAAGAACCTAGAAGGTGGGAGGAACATTATGTTTTGCACCCCCACAGTTCTAACAAATCCCCGGGCCTGATGGAAACCGTGTTGATAGTGTGCGAGTACTTTGAAGATGAAAACCTCATTGTGAACCAATGATTATTTAAGTGTTGGCATTGAAAAGTGACATGTTCATAACAGCATTCTGTTTGAATCTAACTATCCTTCATTAAGATGGATCAAACTGTGATGTAAGGGCCTGGTCCCCGTTTTGAACTGAGTTGCCGACTATGTATATGCAAAAGGAGTCTGAAACGTTCCTGATGTATTCCATTCTTCATTACGTGTTTGCAGCAATGAACTTAAAAGGTCAAATGTTATAGTTACAAATTCTGATGGTAAAATATATGGACAGATCGTACATACAGTTAGATATAATTTAAATGTATGCCTTTATAGTTACTAAGGACGCAGGGACCCCTCAATAGGCACCAGCACCACCAGAAAGCCAAAGAAGTGAAAGGCTGCCCTCCAAGAGCTTAGGGTTGAAGTACAGAGATAAACTATATTTTGTCATATGTAAGAGGACAGTAGAAAATTAGAATATGGTCATAATCTGTGGGTAAGGATCATCTATTTACAACTTAAAAGAAAATATGCTAGTGGACAAGAGAAGTCAGGAAGGGCTGCAGAGCAGCTGTAGGACTGAGATGGAAGCTTGGAGTGTGTGTTGGATGTGAACTGGAAGAGAAAAGGGATAGAAGGCAAAGAGAACAAGTGTGACATGGTAAGACGGAGGACAAGTGTGAAGGGATAAAATTATGTTTGGTACATTCAAGGGATATTAAATAAATAAGTCTTGTCAGAGTTGAAGGTTTATTTCAGTGAACACTGGAAAATGAGTCCTCAGAGCTGGGTGACAGAGGGGCTTTGTGCTGTGTGAAGGAGTTTGACCTTAATTTCATAGACAATAGAGAACGGCTGGTGCTGCAGTCATTCAGTCTGGCATGCATGTGGTGAAATCTTTCCTGTGATCTGCTTACGTGTGTGTAAGTCCTGTGGGTTCAGCTTCTTTGCTCGGCTGATTCTTCACCATGATTAAGAAACATATTTCAAAATATCTTATAAACTGAAGTAGTACAAAAGGAGAATGAAAAGAAACTAGAATAAGTTTCTCAAAAAAATTGCTTTAGGTTCCCAAAAGTCTGCTTATTTTCACACATCCCTTGATATTGAGGCTTCCCTGTTGGTAGCCATTCTCTGAACTATGTTTTATTTCTAATGTTTTTACATTTACTGAGCAAGGGGGGGGGGCTCGCTGCCGAACATTGTACTGCTAAACTCTTTAGACTTGGACCAACACCAGATTCTTCCCATTCTCCCCAAACACTAACTAGAAAGTCAACAATAAGGTGGCAAGCACCTGATAACCTACCACCTATTATTTCTCTTATCACCTTTAAGATTTGGATGTATTGAACTGCTCCAGTTCTCCAATCCCAGGAAAACTTGGAGGCAATTCCTTCAAGGAAAAACAAATATGATTCTAATTGTTTAGCTGAAAACTAAAAGTGCTACTTGACAGCAGGTTCTTGGACTAAGGGGAGAGTCTCCAGGAGAAACAGTCACCATATTGAACTATTCTCTCCCACAGGTGGCTCCAGTGATTAAAGCCAGAATGATGGAGTACGGGACCACAATGGTCAGCTACCAGCCCTTGGGAGACAAGGTCAATTTCTTCCGCATGGTCATCTCAAATCCCGCAGCAACTCACCAAGACATTGACTTCCTGATTGAAGAAATAGAACGCCTTGGACAAGATTTATAATAACCTAGCTCACTAAGCTGTTTCAATTCTCTAGGTAGACAATTAAGTTGTCACAAACTGTGTGAATGTATTTGTAGTTTGTTCCAAAGTAAATCTATTTCTATATTGTGGTGTCAAAGTAGAGTACAGTTTAAAAATCAAAAAAACATTGCTCCTTTTAAAATTCCTTTCTTAAGTTTAGAATACCTCTCTAATAATTAGTGACAAGAGGCTGTGTTCTAATCAATAAGGAAAAGCTTAAAATTGTTATAAACTCTTCTCTTACTTTTAATATAGTGTGCAAATCAAATTTTATTTTCACTTCAGAGTAGTAGGATTGAATAGTGCCATATTGCCCCTGAATCATAAAAGGTTCTTTGGGGTGCTGTGAAAAGGATAAAGTAAATATAAAATATATGTTGACAATAAAAACTCTTGCCTTTTTCATAGTATTAGAAAAAAATTTCTAATTTACCTATAGCAACATTTCAAATGTATTTAAATACATATAATTTTACAAAAGGAAAATATATATATTAAAAAGAAATCCTATTTTGTAACATATAGATTTTTATTTTATATGGGTTATACAAACTGCAGGGGCAGATATAAAAAATAAGCCAGATTTTTTTTTTCTCTTTCTTTTAATGGAGGCACAATAAAACACTTAGCAAAGTTATTTTGAAACATAGGCCCACAAAATTCTTAAAAGGTGTGATGCCTTTTTTCTGTTCATGTTATGACTTATCACATCTCTAAAGTCAGTATTATAAAACAAACACAAAATTTCCTTAATATGATTAAGCAGATCGACAATAAGATTCTCTTCCGATTTAAGTTTTTCACCCAGTTAACCCTTTGCAGACCCGCTCAGTAAGCATGATAAGCCAAGCCTCATCTTAGACTAAATTAGGGGAATCGTTTCTATTCTGCTTTCCACTTCAATCTGTTTTGAACAGAATGTTGATGCTGGTTCTTGAGGCATCTTCCCAAACAGTATTCTTTTATTAGGTCATTTGGATTAATTAGGGGAAACAAAAATAAAATCTAATCAGCCTGAGCAAAGAGGAACGAAGTACATTCCAGAATGTGGTGAGCCCAGACAATTAAAGTCAGCTTTGGGAGAACAGATCTCTGTGTGAGAATAATGGTGTCATCCTGGACGCCATATTGCCACTGTCCAAGGAGTCATTTACCTCCTTGGTAATTGCTTGGTCCCCTTCCCTCCCTACTCCTACCTACAAAAGTCTCTCCCACTAGGCTCCCTATTACTGGGCTCCCAAATATTTAATTTCTACTCCATGGGTGGTTTTTGTTTTTGTTGTTGTTGTTCTCATGAAATGAGCTTCTCACCTGGGATTTTGAGACAGCATCTTAAGACCTTTTTTTCTCTATCTCCCATCCAAAATGACCGGAGTATGCAGAGATAATAAGATCCTTAGAATTCAAAATAATATTTTAAAAGCATCCTCTGCCCCTGCAAACCTGACAAAGAGACATGAGCCAACAAGAGCTCCCACTGATACTTATGGAGCCGCAGATGCTCAGATGCTGAGTGCTAGTAGAGGAAACTGCGGACTCATGTATCAGATCGCAGGCACAAATTTAGAAACATTTATCCTTTCTGTATGGATGAGAAATAGTTTTTACCAGTCGGTTCTTTTCCCCAGCCCTGTTCCTTCCAGGCCCTTCCCCAAGTTTGCTGGGAGACTTGTGCAACCGTCTGCAGTGAAATCCCTATCAACCACACATAGCCCAGGGAAGGAGGTAAATAAAAGCCAAATAAGTCCCGGTATTTTAATAAATACTCCTTAAAGTAGTCTGTAATCCACTCAGGAGGGAAGGAGTGAGGGAGGAAGATTGTTCTGAACATTAGCCAAAATTCCCAGTGCCAAAGGCCTTCGTGTGGGACCATTCTTTACAAATTTTAGAAAAGTTTGGTTTTAGCTTTAATCAGGAATGACATGATTATTTTCATTTATACAGCAATATTGTGTTTATTATTTTCAAATACTTGAAAAAAAGTGTGGTGTGTCTTAATCTGAGACATAGAAATGGCATGGACTTCATGTACTGTCACAAGGCTGTGAGGAAAGAAAAGGAAATCAATTGTGTGTGTAACTGTGTTGCCTTTATTATATTGATAGTACTGTCTTGTCACCTCAGATTGGGGTTGTGCACTTTAGATCTGACCTGTACAGTGTTGCAAATCAACATGTGTTGCTGTAAAAGCTTGTACAATATATTATTGATATGTCTTTTTCTGTGTGGTAGCTGTATTGATATTCTGAGAACTACATTCGCATCTGTTCCTGTGCTCTCTCCCTCCCTCTCTTTGCTAAACTGTACGCCCTCCACATCAGCTCTAATACAGAACATGCCCCCGGCTAAGCTTCCCACTGAGAAATCTCCTTCGAGAATTGTGCGGTTTCACAAAATGCGAGGTGAACGCTACTTCGTCTCTGAGGACAGAAGACACGAATTATGGAATGTCATGGACTGCTAAAATTGCAGGTGTTGTCCCTGCTGGGGTTTGGAGTAGGTGCCACTCCTCGAAATAAGGACAAAGAAAGCACAAGTGTAAATATAGTGCAGGACAAGGAAGAAAGGAACCTAACAATGGAGATCATCTTGCACGTGCTCTCCTGTTTTCAAATGCTAAGTACAAACACTGTGTATTTATTAGTTACATGTGCCAAAATACTGTTCCCAATTGATGTTTCTGAAAGACATCACCGTCTCCCCAACATTATTCCATTACTAAAGACAGAAAAAAATATAAACATGTGGCAACCTGTTCTTCTTACCAAATATAAACTTGTGTGTGATCAAAGTATTTTATCTGTGTCATCTCTCTAAACCCAAATAAATGTGTAAGTGTGGACACATTTCAGGCTTAGAATGCTTATTTCTGACCTTGCCATGTTACGGAGCTAATTTTTAATAAACTGCATGAATAAAAGGCCCTTCACTTGCCACAGAGCTCAGCGTGGGCCTTTGGGTCTTTGTTGGGGAAAAGGGGCTCTTACTTCTGCAGTCAGCCTCTACTGTACCTTCTGAAGAATATTGTTTACCACCCTGGTTTCTCCTTCAATCAGATCCAACCTTTTAAAAAAATTTTATTATGGAAAATTTCAGGTACATACGCAAGTAGAGAAAATAGTACAATAAACTCCCATGAAGGCTTCACCCCACTTCAACATTTGCTGATTCAGAGCCTAAATCTCGTTTCATCCATTCCCCCAGCCCATATCCTCCCCCAACACCAAATTATTTTTATATGAATCTGTAAAAGAGAAGGACTCAAAAAAAAAAAAAGCCCTCACTGCAATTATGCCAACAAAAACTATAACAGTAACACTGCCATAACGATATGAAATACCCAGTTAGAGTTCTCATTTCCCCGATTCTCAAATCTATAGCAAAACCCATGGCCCATGGCTTGTGGTCCAAGAAACCCAGTAAGGCCCCTCACACCTTTCGGGACAGCTGGGGCATATGCAATTCAGGTGCACAACACGACGCTGTATACACATGGGCTATTGAAGCGCAGGCAGATGAAAAGCTAAGAAAACCATGGAAATTTAATTGGTGGAGTATATCCTGATATGCCTTGCCAGGGTGTTCTGTGGCCAAATAAATACAAATCAGATTTAGTATATGTTATGAACGCTTATGAGTGCTATAATGTCACGGGAGGAGGTACCCTAAAGGACTGGGTTTTGGTGGCCTGGAAACCTATGCTCCTGCTAGGAGAAGTAGGATCCATGCACTCACGTTTTCATTCCTCCAATGAGGCATCTCCTGGAGCAGCTGCTGGAGTCAGACTGCCAGGCCTCAGATGCCAGCTCTGCCATTCATTAGCTCTGTGACCCTGAGCAAATCACTTAACCTCTTGAAACCTCAGTTCGCTCATCTGTTAAGAGAGGACAAAAATAGCAATTTACTCAAGGGTGATAATCAAGATTCAAATGAGAAGAAAGCCCAATGCTTGCAGCATGGTGAATGTTTACTATATGTTAATTTTATTTTTATTCTGTGTTGCTGCCTGTAAGAACCAGGCTTCAGATGCAAGCCCTCCATCCTCCTTAACTCATCTACAAAAGATTGTCCTGAACACACAGAGGAGGCGCCAGCAGCATCTCCCTGTAGAAAGCCATTTTATGAATGATCCGTGAGGACAGCAGGCTGATGACTGAGGCCGCCTCAGTCGCAGCCTTAGGCCTAGCTTTAATCGAGACTGGGAAGAGACCTAGAAAGCCTGGGGCAGGATAGCTGAGGAAAAACGAAGAGCAAGAGGAAGAAGGCTACTTTAGTTGGAACGAATTATCTAGTACTTGTTCTGAACTCCTTTCCCAGGGGAATGTCCTTGTCTCAGACAGGCGGCCATCAGAGTTAGAGTGAAATGAAGTGGGACATCAGGTTTGGCTTCATTGGAATTGCTAGTATAGTCACTTATCTGACTAAGACTTCCAGCTTCCGTTTATACAATGGGGCTCAATTGTTGGGGGCATACCGGAAGGAAGAGTGACTTAATCTTCCTCAAGCCATTAAAGAGTTTCCAACACCTCAAAAAGCAAGTAGCAAAGAAACACTAAAAGTTCTGAATTGAAGGTCATCGCTGCCCAGGACCTGCTGTCATTGACACATGCACCTGGATAAATACACAAACTACACGCTCAAGCGGATGCACAGCCACTTCTCTACTTGGAACCCTGCTTCTCACTTTTGGAAAAAAATGTTTGTGGTCTCTATGAAAGTGTCAGCACTGAGGC